AGAAAGGATAGCTTTGTGTGATGGTTTGAATGACAATGTCCTCCATAGGCTCCAAGTATTTGGACATTTTGTCCCCAACTGGTGACACTGTTTTGGGAGGTCTTAGAGGGTGGCCATGTTGGAGGAAACATATCACTGGGGGTGGGCTTAGAGAGTTCTTAAGCCTTTCTGGAGCTCAAGTCCATCTCTTACTTCCTGTGCCTGGTTGAAGATGTAGAGCTTAGCTTCTGCTTCTCCTCCAGCCACCTCTGTCACCACGCCTCTCTGCCATGATGAACTCTTGCCACTTGGAATCATAAGCTCAAATAAACTCTTCCTTTTATAAATTGCTGTGGTGTGCCCCAATTCCCTCTGTGTCTCCTGAGTGATCAGAAAAACCATATAATATATTCTATGTGAGTTTATTAACTTACAAAGGAATGAGAACCCAGCTCCTAGCCTAGCCCCAGGCCTCTGGTGGCTGGCTCAGAGCCTGCCATGCCCCAGCTACCATAGTCCCCGCATTTGCTCCTGCCTCAGGGGCCAGCAATCTCACCCCGGGTCCAAAGGAGTCAGTCCATTCTGTCTTTGAGTTGCTGCACGGGCTGCATGCCCACACCACACATGTTACCCACAGCTCCTGGCTTCCATCCCAAGATGGCTCCTGGCTTCCCTTCCTAGTCCATACTCCCTGTCAGGTGTTGCCGATTCCCTCTTGGGTCCAGCCCACGAGGGACTGCAGGGAACGAGGGTTCTGACTGAAGTGGGGGTGAGTGGTGCCTAGTCAACACACAGACACGGAGAGTCAGGTGGAAGCAGGCACTAGGCGAGGTGCTGCTGACCCGTTTAATACTGGGAATGGCACGCCTTATCTGTCTCTCCCCCTGCCCTCAGTGTCCCATAAGCTGGTGTATCACTCCCTGATAGATCCCCTCATCCAGGCCACTCGCGTCATCAGTCTTTAGGTCCTGGGGCAGATTATAGGTTGGCTCTTTTGCGGAAGCCCAGGCTGTGCTCTCAAGGCGGAAGCTGTGCTCTCTAGCACAGCCTGTGCTTAGGTCTGACACTTAACCTCCTACAGTCAGGCCTGCTCATAGGAGGAACCAGCCAGTCCAGAGACATGTGGTCAATGTTTCTATCACAGCAACAGAAAATTGACTAAACACACCTTGAAAACTAACTTTGCTTCTAGGAATGACAATCCTGACAAAATTTTAGGAGCTCACTGAAGATAAAAGTGGCTAAGATACCTTATGGATGTCCAAATATTTTTTTCAAATATATATTGGGGTCCAGAAAGATGGCTCAGTGGGTAAAAGTGCCTGCTGCCAAGCCTGACAACTTGTCTTTGATTTCAGGAACCCACATAGTGGAAGAAGTTTACTAACTTCAACAAGTTGTCCTCTGACCTTAGTGTACACAGTAAATAAATAAATAGATAAATAAATAAATAATTGATAAATAAATAAATGTGAAAATTTTTAAATTTTAAAATACTTTAACTCCTGTATTTGATGTCAGATATCCTTTAGAATTAGAATCTTTGTTTCTGCATGTGATTTCTTTGTTAATGCTCTATGGAGTTTGCCTGTAGACACTTTTCTCTTGTAGCATAAATGATTTTGACATAAGAACCTGAAGAAGGTTTGTAAATTCTCCTAGCACTTCCCTGACTATATTTCAACCATTCAATTTTGTATAGAATCAAAATAATTACAACTGCCATTGTCAGTGCCACTATAATGAGAAAAATAATTTTCTGGGGTGCATTTTAATAATGCAGATGACTCTCAACCTGCAATCCTACATTTCTAATTCATAGGCCTGGGATAAAGATCAGACATTTGCATTTCTAACAAGCATCCTGACGATAGTGATAGAAGTGGTAGCACACAGGTCCAGTTCCCTGCAAAGTAGATTGTGAATAAAAGATGTCACCATAAAAGGTTTCTGGGAGAGATGCTGTGCATTGATTCCTGAGCTCATGGGACAGTATTCTTAGAGCTTGGACACATGGTAGTGTGTTAGCCTCCCATGATGAGCTCAAGAGCTGTAGCACTTATTGGAAACATTGGAGTTGGAGTAAGAACCATGGATCTTTTCCTTTTGTTTCATGGAGTATTCGTTGCATACATAATGCTTCAGGGAAAGAAGGTGACCCTGGAAAGGCATTTTTTCACCTTAAAAGTGACTGGGTACAGTGTTATGTTTTGGCTGAATCACACTTTCCAGCTCTGATACAGGCGAGGCTCTTGACTAGATGACTGTAGTCAGAATAAAATGCTCACTTCAGTTTATTTTAGTTAAAGAGGAGGCGGTGAACCAATTATATAATACTCAACACCAGACAGATGGATTTGGTCTTGTCTTATTAATCACACATGTACACGAATACCACGTGTCATGCAAGACTACAGCATGACATATATTGAGGTGCACAATGAATCACTAGGGATGAACTAGTCAGATTTTGTATTAGCAAGTGGGTGAAGTAGATGAATTTGTTGTGCTGTGAATTTTAAGGAATCAAAGGCAAGTGAAAGTTGTGATCAGATGTGATGCAGCTAGTGAGTCTACTCTGCTAGGGGAATAACTTGGTTGGAATATAGGTTTTTAATATTTTTGTTATTGTGAGATTTTCATATATTGGGTATTGTATTTATATCATTTCCACTTCTCCCAGACCCCCTCTAACTTTTCCCATGTCCTCATGACTCCTTCTCAATTTCTTGTCCTCACCTTTGATTATTATTGCTATATATGCATGCATACATTTGTGAATATGTGTCAATATATTGCACTGATTCCATTTAATGATGCTCATGTATACGTGGATGAACACTTGGGATTATGCAATTTATCAGGGAGCTAGTCCCTGGAAAAAGACTGATTCTCACTCTCTCAGTATCCACTCATTGTCTTCTATTCATCTGGAGATGGGACCCAGTGAAAATTTGTCACTCGCCATTGGCATGTCAATTGATTTTGTCATTATTAAGATCTTATTAGGTTACCACACTGTGGAGAATCCAAGGGTACAGCTTCCCTATCCTGTCTAGAATGCATTATCTAACAGCAGGCACCTTGTTCCTCTGACTCTTACAATCTGTTCTTATTGGACAGGAGAATATCTACAGAGAGCAGAAAAAAATCTTGGAAAGCCTATGGAATCCTGTGAGGCTTGGAAATATGCACTTCTAATTTTTAGTTCTCACAATATTCAGTCCTAAATAGAGTTGGGCTTTGTCCTCAATAAGGAAATAAACTATGTGAACATCTGGCATATTTGCAACTGTAATTGAAATCATGGTTATTGGAGTATATGAAATGGCTTCAAAGATAGTTAATGGGGGAGTTTTTAATCTTCTGTCCTATTGCTTAGCTCTAGACTAATTAAGATAGAAAATGAAGTTGATGAGCATATTTACATGAATACATTTCTAAATACTCCAAGGTGCAATGAGATTTTGGAATCATTTAATTCTATTTGAGAGTCAAATCAAATTACACGTTTCTGATTCTAGGTTAATGGCTTTTGAAAAGTTCCGTGGGTCAAGAAAATTTTACTTTCAATATTTGCGATATTTCAGTATTATTGTAGCTTGAGTAAAGTGAAAACATATCAGAGAAGTTAATCTGATGAGCAAAGCACATTTAAAATTAAACTGACTTTAAAGTCACCTTACACTCATCATTAAACAGCAAAAGGGATTTTTTTATAAAAGATCAGAGTCCGAAGCTGGAGATCAATTAAGAGCACTTGCTCTTCTTGCAGAGGACCTGAGTTTAGTTCCAAATACACACTTGAGGTGACTCACAACCACCTGTAACTCAAGTGCCAGGGGATTAACTTTCTCTTCTGGACTCATAGGAACACATTCCTAAACACAGAGCCACATATACATATACTTTTACATATACACATCATTTTAAGAAAAATAAACATTTTTAAAAAGATCGCTGAGTTTGTGTGTGTGTGTGTGTGTGTCTGGGTCTGGGTCTGTATATGTATTGGTGTGTGTGTCTGGGTCTGTGTTTGGGTCTGTCCACTGGAGTGCAGTCTCAGCAGAGGCAGGAGTTTGTGGAACACTCTGGAGTTACAGGTAGGAATGAGCTGCCTGATGTGGTTGCTGGAAACTGAACTCTGATCCTCTCAAAGTGTTGTATGCACTTTTTATCTCTGAGCAATCTCTCTAGGGCCAAGCTATATTTCTTTAAACATGTTTTCTTCCTCTGTAATTTTATTTCAGGTATGAAGTTAGTGTAGTTTGCATATTGCAAGAACTAGAATACAAAATATTTACTGTTCTCCCTGGTTGAGAGAGAAATCTGCATGTTCAGATCTATGAGGTTCCACTAGAAACTATGAGCACAATAATAAAGAATTTATCAACTTCATGTAGAGTTTCTTCTCTGTGGCATTAGTAATGGAAATATTTAACCTGTGATATATTAGATATAACTGAGCTAAGTCAGCAAACTGTTATGTCAAATTTAAGCTCTATTAGAAGAAGATCTAAATATCTTGTCACTTACAATAGGAAAATGTTGGGATAATTTCAGAAATAAAAAAGATGTGGACTTGTTTTTATGATATTAATTCTTCTAATCTATGAGCATGGAAAGTCCTCCATCTCCTGGTGTCTTCCTCAATCTCTTTCTCCAAAGATTTAAAATTTCCATTGTAGAGGTCTTTGGTCAAGTTTACTCCTTGATATTATTTTGAGGCTATTGTGAATGGGAGGGTTTCCATGTACTCTTTCTCAAACTGATTGTTGTTGGTATAAAGAAAGGGAATTGATTTTTGTAGACTGATTTTGTGACCTGCCACTTTGCTGAAAGTGTTCATTATTTTTAGGAGTTTTCCTGTGAAATATTTGGAATCTCTTATGTATAAAATCATATCATCTGCAAAGAGAGATAATTTGGCCACTTATTTTCCAATTAGTATTACTTTAAATTTCTTCTCTTGTCTTACTGCTCTAGCAGGAGTTTCAAGCCCTATTTTAAAAGGGGATGGAAAGAATGTACTTTCAGGGATTGTTTCTGTAGTTTGTTACTAGGGAAGTTTCCCTGACTGTGTAGAGTACCAGAAACGATGAGAAGGAGATGGAGCATTCTCTCCTGAGCATGAAGTTGGATCTTGGTGTTGCTTCACTGCAACTACCTTCGGCCATTGATGGTCATTCTTCTTTCTTTTGGGAGAGTAGGGGAAGAGGATGCAGTCTGAGTGGTTAAAAAAAAAAAAAAGGAGTGTCTTGGTCCTGATTTTTCATGGGAATTCCTCCAGTTTTTCTCCATTTAGAATGATGGTCGCCATGGATTGGTTATATATAGGGGCATTTAAATGTGAGGGGGAGAGGTTATACAAGGACCTGTGTGGGTAAAGGGGAAGAAGGAGCTCAAGAGAAGGGGGACCATAGGAGACAGCTATTATCGAAGGTGAAATGGGGAAAATGAAGGTATTTTAATTGGGAGAAGGAGGAGGGAGGGTTAGACAGGGAGAGAGAGAAGATAAATAATGCTTAGTTCATGTGAAAATCCAGAGGGAAATGTAGTAGATCAAAAACATACTGAAAAATTATACATAGAATATATCTACATGTAACTATGTGCATAGCTGAAGGCTATATAACAAAAAACAGTGCCAGACAGGATAAACCTCCCTTTGAGTTATTGGCCAGGATAGTTCAGGAGACTCTTAAAATTAGGTAGCCTATATCTACAGTCCTTGATTGCCTCCCCAGAACTTGAAGGTAGGACCCTATTGCTGAAGACAGGACGTACTTCGAGTAGAGGACTTGAGCAATGGAGCTGGGAACTGACCTGGAAGCCACCTCCCTGAAGGCTAGCTCTCATAGTTTTGGAGAACACTATGTAAGCTGCTAAGGGAAAACATCAATCAATGGTCCCACCCCAGCTTTAAGGCCTAATAACCACAACAATGACTGGCACTGCAAGCTATATCAGGAGAGTAGTGGCACTTTTATTTGGGGGGTAATTGGACTTAAAGCTCACTCAGTGGGGGGAAATGCATGTATGGCACTATAAATGTACCCAAATACACATAGCTGGAGAGATCATAGATCTTAGTGAAAACCCCAAGACTGTCACATCCTAGATGAATGCAATTTCTTACTATGTGCTAAATAGGGATCCATATATTTAGAGAAAAGTATGCCAGTCACCTCTCATCAGAGAAGTTTCTCTTGCAACATATAAATTCTATTACAAAGTTCTACAACTGGTCACACACCGATTGTCCAACCCTAAGTGACACATCTACAATGAAGCACAAATAACTGAGAAATATTTTTTAGATGCTCAATACCTTTTGACATCAGAGAAATGAGAATTAAAACTGCCTTGATTTCATTTTATACCAGTCAGAATGACTAAGATCCGAAAAGAAATAATCAAAAATGCTAGTGAGATGTGAGAAAAGAAGGACATTTCTTCCCTGCTAGCCAGAGAGAACACTAGAATATCCACTTTGAAAATCACTGTGACAATTTCACATGTATCTATCATATGATCCAACCACACCACTCTTGGACTTATATACCCAAAGAATTCTGTATCATACTGCAGTGGCACTTGTTCATCTATGCTCATTATTGCTCTATTCACAATATCCAGGAAATGAAAGCAACCTAGATGCCCATCAACTGATGAATCGAAAATTAAAATGTCACACATTTACACAACAGAATGTTATTTTGCTTTTAAGAAAAACAACATTGGACTACAGAGATGGTTCAGCAGTTAAGAGCACTGCCTGCTCTTACAGAAGACCCAGGTTCAGTTCCCAGCACCCACATAGTCGCTAACAACTGTCTGTAACTCCAGTCCAGAGGATCTGATGCCCCCTTTTGCATAACAGGGGTGCACTTATACACATGCAAACAATATATTCATGAATATAAAAAGAATAAACAAAATATTAGAACAAGAAAAACAAAATTATGAAATTACCATGTAAATGAACAACACTGGAAACAACCATCCTGACTGAGGTAACACAGACCTGAAAAGATAAATGTAGCCTGTTCTAACTCATATGTCGACAGTAGCTTTGAAACTTTAGATAAGTTTGCTTCAATTAGAAATTCCATAGAGCTCAGGAAACCAGTAAGGGACCATGATTGGGGGAGGGCTTCCTTGGAGCAGAGATAGAATGTAGAGAAATAAAGGTAGAAATGGGAACAATGCCTTAAGAAGAGTACATTGGGTGGGGAACAGGAGGGCATGATAGAGGAGGGAGTATGGAAAGTGAAAACCAATACTGAAATCCTTTTAAAAAATGTCAAATGAAAATCTACTACTATAAAAGCTTCCTAAAATATATACACATACATACACATACATAAAAGGACTTTAAATATAATTGCCTTATAACTGGGGAACAACTACCCAAAAGACATATAGACAAGTAAACAAAAACTCCAGTGCTAGGAATGGGCTTCCTCTTTCAGAGTTGTTGACAGAAGAAGTCCCATAAACCCTCAAACAATACTGGCTATTGCTGTTGCCATGGTTACCCTCTAGTAAACTTAGTTGCTGAAGATACTATACATGTGAGCTGTAGAACAAACATAGAGAAACGAATTCAGTCCTGACCTTGTAACTTTATCTGTACTTGCTAGCTTTCATTGCACTGGACATACTATGCAAGGTAGTGGAAAAGAAAGAACATCATTAACCTTACCCAGCTGTGAACCCTGCAAACTCCAATAATGACTGTCCTGGCAAGACATGCCCACTATGTACTAGTGGCACAAATGTTATGGGAATACGCAAACACTTTTTGATTTGATTCAAGACCTGGTTCACAAGATGGAGCCCATTCTTGGCATTATTACTGTGGCCAGGAATTTGTGGATAGACAGAACACAAGTCATAGGGAAGAACTTATTATTATCATTATTCCATTACATGGACATTGTTTTTTAATATATATATATAATATATGTATATATATATATATTACTTTTTAGAAGAAGCATTTCGTTATAGCTTTAATATACTCAATAAAAATTTCCAGAGCAAAGATACATCTCTTTCAAAAGTTGTTATAAAATTTTTAGGTTCACAGTTGAAATAATACAGTTATAAAATATTGAGCTCAGTATAAACCCTGAAAGACATGAAATTGAATGGCTTTTTGACCTTTAAAAAAGATCTCCATTTAATTTCAAAATATACTGTTTCTTACAGAAATACTCATTGTTTTGGCTAATAACACATGGATGTTGGCACATGCATCTCTAATCTGTATCTATCTGATTATTACTAGACATGGTTGGTTGCACTCCGATACTTGGCACCTGTGTATGGATATAAAGTCATCGGGTAGATTTCAATGGTAATGTTTATCACCTTTACTACTTCAAATGATGTAAATTTTTATGCTTTCTCCTCAATTATAACTCATTTTTTTTAATTTGTTGATTTTTTTTGTGTGTGTATATCACACAGAACATCCCAAACAATCTTATTCATCCATATCCCCACTTCCCAGATGGCAACCTCCCATAGCCTTCCCCGACTAGAGTCCTTTTACTCTGTCTTCCCTGATACTGTCTTCTGTGGTGTCAGCACCCTCAGCCATTAATCAGTACTTATCCATCTGGTAAATCTAGTCAGCCTATCGAGGGGTCTTTGTTTTAGGAAGGTCAGCTGTTCCTCATCTAGCAGCAATCAGTCATCTTTATTCCTTTAGATAAGATTGGGGTCTGCTGTTCATTCTCCCAGTTTTATGCTGGGTTACTATCTGGGAGTCTCTTGGGACACCCTGGCCAACAACTCAAAGAAGGTATCTCCTATCTGCCATTGTTTCTTGTTATGTAGCCTTTAGCTAAGCATATGGACTCTAAAAAAATTATATTGGACCCTTTAATCTTTGGTCATACTTTCCTTTTGGGGTGTTTAAGGCCATACAGTTGGCCCAGATAAACCAATTTGTTATTACCATTTGAGGATCCATTCCTCAGGGGTCACATGGTCTTGGGAGGGGCCCTGGCTTCTTTCTTTTACCAGTTACACCTATGTGAAGATAAGTCAAAGGACCTACTCAACCATGGCTGGCTTTGCTTGGAATCATGGAGGAAATGTTTTCTCTGTGTTGACCCTCCTTTTTGCAGACTGGACACTGGTTCAAATCCATCTTGTGGGGTCTCCACTGTCTCCTTGATCAAGAGGACAGGTGACTCACCACAGTTACAGGACATTTTGAGAGATGCTCATAGTCCCCTGGAACTAGTCGACCTGGGAAGGCAAGGAGCAAAAACTGCCCTTTATGTCCCTCTGACCAAATTAGTATAGGCCTCAATGTATGTCTTTTAAACATTCAAGAAGGTTAGTTCCATCAGTCTGGTACTTTTAATTACCATGTGCCAAGTAGATAAAGCTGGGGCAAAGACCAATTGTTCTCAGATAAACCTTGCCTAGATATATATTTCTTGAACTTGTATGTATAATTTGTCAGTAGGTTGTTGGACTAACTAGGCATTATTTATCTCCTGCATTGCCTAAACCTTTCATCATTGTTCCCCAATTAAAGTGCCCCCATTTCCCAGGGGGGGAGGTAAGGGTATGCAAGGAACTTGGGGATAAAGGGAAAGAAGGAACTCAAGAGAGGTAGGACCTTAGGAGAAGGGTATTATTAAGAGAGAAATGGGAAAGGGACATTGTTTTACACTAACTCATAATGACTAATTATTATACCTATACATCTGTGCATCTCTCAACTCACACCACAGAAAGTTCTTTCAGCAGATGACAATAAAGAGACCCACAACGGTCAACATGCAGAAAATAAGAGACAGTGAAATGCTGAACCCTAAATGGGACTCCTGTATTACTCCTTCTCCTCCCAAAGCTCAGGGATCATTGAAGGAGAGGAAGCATTAAGATTTTAAGAACCAAAGTTAGTGGATGACTGTACAGAAATAATGTTCTGTGGATGCAACAGAAGTCTTTTACATATGAACACACAGTGGGTGCTAGCACTTGAACCTGAGGAGAGTGAGGTTTCTTTAAGAATGTGATACTGGATAGGTTTACCACACTTCAAGGGATGGACCCACTCCCAAAAGTATTTAAGGAATACAAATTAGACTTAATAGGCCATAAAAAATAAAAAGGACATGAAATGAGTAGGTTAAGGAGATATGGGTGAATGTGAGAGGAGATGGGGGAGGGATCTGAACCAGACCAGAACATAGTGTATAAAA